ATAATGTTCTTTTTAGCAGCATCATATGACCCCTTTAAATTTGTTGAGCCCATCACAAAAATGAAACAAAACTCAGTAGACTTGTACTTTTTTTCTTTGGTTGTTAATGTGTTAAGAAAAACATTGTGTAGGACTGTTCAATTTATTTCTTTGATGTAACTATTTATTTTTATGCAGCTCACAGAATTGCTGGCATGTGATGAATTGAATAAATCAGAATGTTCTGCTGTTTATGCTGCTATTAGCGCAATCCGTGAGATTTTTTTACATGTAAAAATATGAATATAAAATTTATAACAGTAATAAAAAAATAATAGTATTTGTGGTATTTTTAAAAGGTCACAGGCACATTCATTTTAATTTAAAGTAACATTCTAATTTTGTCGGTTGTCGATAGGCCTAGGAATATGCAATTTCCTGATCAAATCCCTACTAGAAACAATTATACACAAAATGGGGATATAATTTCTTTAGGCAAAAGCGATAAAATTAACCGAAATTAACATCCCTATCTGGAAAATAAATTGACAATGTAATTGTTACCTTTCAGATTGGAATTAGTGTCCTCTAAATCGCTGTCCACTGTAACTTCCTCTGAAAAAAACAGAAATAAATTTTAAACGTAATATATTAACTCTATATTAGAGTTTGTGTGCACATTCTGCAGAATAAAAATGTAAATGCAAAACAATTAATATTTTGAAGCTGAGGGAGTTCAAGAGAGAGTACCTTCTGGATCGATGTCGATTTCGTCAAGACTTCTACCTTTAAAATCTGCCAAGCGTCCTTTTTCAAGTGCCAGAAAAATTTTGCTCATTTTGGCCAGCTGAAGGGTGCCCTCAGGCAGCCGGTAAAACTGACGATGTACTCGAATATCATGGCCTAGAAAGTCAGCCAGCTGATCGAGCTCAGTGTTGCTCAGATTGAGAATTTCAGAGAGGGTACCAATCTGTTTCCTCAACTTTGTGGAAGTGAGAGTTTGAGGATTTTTAGCATTGCATGCAACTGCAAATTCACGGATGCAGTCAGAGCCTCTGTAAAAAGTCAATGCAAATGGACGTGCAAAGAGGAAAGAGTTCTCATTCGGTACTCCACACCCATTTCGGTTCTCAATTAGTAGCCTGATTGACTCTTGCATTGAAGGAGTGACAAGGACAGGAACCTTTCTGCCTCTTTTGCCTCTAATCTCTAATCTCTTGAAATACTGACACAGTTTATTTTCCAACTCTGAGAGGGCCATGCTAATATCCGGATGTCCATCTGACTGGTTGCTGGAAGTGTATGCGGACAAAGGCATTTGTGACACTTCCCCTTCTCGTCTCCGATTAAAAAGCATAATCTGAGTTAATGTAACCTTGGCCAATTTTGCCCAGTGCTGAGATGAAGGCTGTGATGACAAGAGTTTGCGATACAATTTCTCCTGCTGGTCAAGATACACATGCAGACGTTTAACATCTTCAGTGAATGGAAGAAGAAGTGGCGAGTTCCACTTTGCTTCCTCCAGGGTTCGCCGTGCTGCTGTGGAAATGTACTCAGG